CTTTACAAGAACTTTTTTCTTGGTTTATCCATCTCTCCTGAAACTTTAATTTGGTATCTCTTTGTACAAAAGTATAATATAAAAAAAGTATAATAAAAAGAATAACAAAATAATTTTAACACATTTTCTTATTGTGTGTCTTCTTTTATAAAAAAAGAATATTTGAGAAATCGCGGAAAGATAACAGAACATTCTGTAATTAATTTAATCGTAATTTTACTTTTTTGTAGAAAAAGTAATATAAAAGTTATTTTTCTAATTAATAACAGTTATTAATTTATTAATACTAATATTATTAATACATTAATAATTATCAATATATTAATATTATCATTAATATTGATATTAATATTAACATTGTATTATATTAATATTAATATTAACATTATATCAATAACATTAATTTATGCAGTTACTATTTTTCGAATAATTATCAGTCATAACGCATATTCATGATGAATATTCAAAGAGAAACGCATTTTGAATATGTTCCGATCCTTCGGCAAGTTCAGATTGGTAAGCATTTCTGTCCGCGTGCGTACATTAACTTTTTCATTTCTTCGATTTATCTTAAATTGAAGATCATGACACTAACAATGATGACAATAACAAAAAGTTAGAATAATGTTAAGTGAGTCATAATATCCTTTTACAGTAGCGCAACGAATCCATGTATAGCCGATAAAAACGCGGGACTAAAGTAAATCATAACAATTTTACATAAATTTGCACATCTATTTACTTGTCATAAGCGAAAATAATGATACTGTCGATTGTAGGCGGGAGTTATCTTACATGTGTCGTTTTTTTACATCACAGAAGTTTCAAAGTTCAAGGTGTTCAAAGATAAGAATATACATATAATGAACAGGTCTTAATCTGTACAGAAGCCGTCATTAATGCCTTTCTACTGCGTTCTGAAATTCACTAAATTTTCTATAGTATACGTTACGTATATTAGGGTACAAATATGAGAAGAATTCTGTTTATTAATTTGAAATCGTAATATTTTAAAGAGGCGCAATAACATCAATATGATGCAATAAGTAGAAGATAAATTATGTAAATAAAATTTGTATTATAATAACGTGCTTATAAATTTGCTGAATCCATTTAAAATTTTTGCAAAGTAATATAATCAAGGTATTGATTGTTTTGTTGTACATATTTCAGGTAACGCGCAAAAAATACATCAACAACATGCCTACAATGGTAAGCATCCACCTCACACTATAACTCTGTTATTGCATATATTTGTACTTTATTCACATCTCCATTTGCGTCATAATTATGCGCCAATCATTTACTACTGATGTCATTTCATCTTATGTCATTACTAATAAACACTATTCATTATATCTTATTTTTAACATAGACCGACGCGAACGAAAAGTTGCCGACAGAGTTGGATACCTTCCTGCCCCAAGATGGATCCAATCTTAAGGATGGCGTCCTGTCCGCCAAGTAAGACTCCGATTAATTTCATAGAAAACATTAATTGAGAGAACAAAATGTGATTTATAATGCATAAATGTACAAAATACAAATTGCTAAGAGCTTTGTTTTCATTTGACACAGATATGTAGTACAAGTTGCTCCACGCGATGTTGAAGCCGCACTGGGCGATGAGAAGAGTTTCGATCCCTTTGCGGAACGCAAAGTCGACAATCCGACAACGTAAGAATCAACGTCATTCTTTTAATAATAATCTCATAATACACACACACACATACACACATGAATTTTGTGATACATGTATACTCTATAATATATATTTTTATCTTAATTGTTAATTTTTAATGATTTGGAATGACGCGATAAATGTGTGAATAACTGTATTATTATATCGTTTTCAGGGATTGCGATACGTTAACGCACTTATTGAAAGCTTCTCTTGGCACTGGAATACTAGCTATGCCCATAGCTTTTAAAAGTGCTGGACTTCTTTTGGGTATCTTTTCCACGATACTCGTTGCATTCGTGTGCACACATTGCGCATATATTCTGGTGAGTTTCTAGAGATAAAGATTTATATTTCGTCGCGTATGTAGTTATCGCTATAGATAGCCTGATTTCATTTTTCGTAAGATAGGATTAACGTATCTCATTTTCAGGTCAAATGCGCGCACGTGCTCTACTACAAAACTCGAAAAGCGGAAATGGGATTTGCTGAAGTTGCTGAGACAGCTTTTAGTATCGGACCTCAGTGGGCGAGAAAGTTCGCGAAACCTTCCAGGTTATTAACTTTGTTTCCCGAACATATGATTAATTCTTTAGCAACTTTTTTAGTTAGCAAATTTCTCTTTTGTTTATAGATATCTCATACAGATTAGTCTATTTACTACATATTACGGTACCTGCAGTGTATACGCAGTAATCGTGGCTGCTAACATTAAGCAGATTATCGAACATTATCAAGATGTTGATGCTGGCGAATACAACATTCGTTTGATCACTGCTTATTTGCTGGTGCCGCTGATCCTTCTTAGTTGGGTACCCGACTTGAAGTATCTCGCGCCAATTTCGATGGTGGCGAACATTTTTATGGGAACAGGACTGGGAATAACATTTTACTATCTCGTTTGGGATTTGCCACCATTGTCCTCAGTGCCTTTAGTAGCTACAATCGAAAGCTTCCCGCAGTTTTTTAGCATCACTATCTTCGCTATGGAAGCAATTGGCGTAGTGATGCCTCTGGAGAACAGCATGAAGACGCCGCAACACTTTGTAGGAATTTGCGGAGTTCTCAACAAAGGAATGTCCGGTGTTACGCTTGTATATATTTTTCTTGGATTCCTCGGATATGCTAAGTATCAAGATGAGACGCTTGGTAGCATCACTCTAAATCTACCGACAGAAGAAATGTAAGAGTTTAATTTGACAGAATTGTAACTTTTATTTTTATAACAACATATATCATTTTTTCAATCTGATTTTCTATATCTCTGTCGGTAACTACTTTACAGAGCGGCACAAATTGTGAAGATATTGATCGCCTTAGCTGTCTTTTGTACTTTTGGTTTACAATTCTACGTGTGCCTCGATATTGCGTGGAACGGTGTAAAACATCGTTTTGAGAAAAAGTCACTTTTAGCCAACTATTTCGTAAGGACGGTGCTGGTAATAGGCGCAGGTATGTGTGTATTCAGATCTTATATATATATATATTTTTTTAAATATCTTTTAAATACAAAATTGATGATGTATCATGAAATAACCATTCGTGTTGTACAGTTCTCCTTGCCGTGGCCGTGCCGACAATCGAACCGTTCATCGGCCTAATTGGTGCATTTTGTTTCTCCATTTTGGGCCTTCTTATTCCGGTCTTCATTGAGACCGTAACGTACTGGGATGTCGGCTTCGGACCGGGAAATTGGGTAGCCTTGAAGAATGTAATTATATGCGTGATAGGTCTGATGGCATTAATATTTGGATCACGTAGTGCTATAATGGATATAGTAAAATTGTATGCTTGATAGACAAAACATTTTCCGTTTTTTATCTAGTACAAATATTTCTATGATATACAACAAAATTTTCTATCAAATTTAGATCTATCCCTGGTATGACTTAACGGTATTAATTAAGTATACATTATACATTCGCAGGGAGGGCAGATTTTATTGGAATTTCTGAGAGGACATAGAATCGAATGTATTTAAATTGTATATAGGTTAAATTTTCTAACATATTTCTTTGAGATTTCGGACTCTTATAAATATGACTTTTTAGTTTTATGCTGATTTTAATAAGATCTTTTTACGGAAAATCAATATATTTTTTTCTACATTTGTATAAATAGAAAAATTTATCAAATTTTTTAAATAATTTTAAAAATAACGTATGGATATTTTATAGGACAGAAATTAAAAGCAGATTTAGATTTAGGGGCAACAGCAGTATTCATTTAACAGAAAATACAAAATGATGAATTATCGTGATCGTAATGTGCGAATGTATCCTAAAGAATGCGTGAAGTTTCTATAGGAAATAATTTTTATACTATTGGAATGTTATGTTATTTAATTTTAACATAGAAGTTCTGCATTTTTATGAAATTGTAATTAAAGAAATTTTAGGCTAATTTATCAATTTATAGAAATTATTTTCACAATCTTATTTTAGAAAGATAGATAAAGTAGCATGTTGCGCGTATTTTTATTAATTTCGCTCAAATGTGCAGTTTAATATTGTTTTAGTTTGTATTTTAATATTGCAAAAATGTTACATATTTTTATGAAAAAGATGTTTTAAGGATTTGGAACCGCAAAAATTACAGAGTTTGCATGAAACGAATGCGTGTTATCTGTGGAAAAAAAATATATTGCTCAAGCAAAGTATATCACACAGCCTTCCTGCATTGCATTTAGAATTAACATCAAAATATACTTTTCCGAAATATGACTGATGTACGCATGATGTAACAAGACAAGACGAAACGTTGCGTATAATGGCAATAGCATACCGAAAATAACCAATCAAATTTGGGTCCAAATTCACTCTTTTACTGCACATTCGCGGGAACGTTTCACCTTGTAGTTTTATATCAGATTACACAGGAGACACGTAATATACTGCTCCACCTCTTTTATGAGCAGATAAAGTTTGTATTGATGTAAATGAAACTTTTGCTATTTGTAACGCATGGTACTGGCTGGAGTTACATAAAATATAAATGATTTTATATTTTGTAAAGACAGCTTTATTCCTCAAATCATTTTTCCATTTTTTGTCTTACATATATCATGTATGTATAATATTGTAACGTGGATAGATTTTACATAAAATATCAATGCTTTGCTGTAATAAAATTATGTTTTGTTATTATTACAAATTAAAAGATAAATAATTTGAACATTTTACAAATAAAACATTCTTTTATTTTTTTCTTATAAACTTATAAGCTATACTTACTATACAAGTGTATTATTAAAACATAAAATGTTAAGACTATACAATAGAGTAACTTTAATCGTTTTTTCAGTATACATCATGGAATTATGTACATCAGGTCACATCAGGTGTCTTGCGAATGATCCAAAAATGATTCAGTTAATGTCGACATGACAGATAAAATTTATTTCTCTAACGGTGCATAGTTAAGTAACTTTTCGATCAAATCTACATGTCCAAGCAGCATCCTACGACAGCAGTATCTTTTCAGACCTAGCGCATCCAAGGCATCTCTATAACATACATATCATCTCTATAATCATACTTCATTTTTTCCTATTTTAAGATATTAGGCAAGTTTTTTGGTTTATTGATTAATCAATTGCATTATGTGTAAATACAGTTTTTACAAATGAAAATTGCATTTGTGCTTAATGTGATTAATTAATCATTAGCTGCATTCAGCAGAACATTTATTTTGTAACTGTTGAAAGTTTTCAGCAATCATAAAACGGTTGCAAAACTGTCGTGTTCTGCTGGACACATCCAATGGCCGCATTCAGCAGAATGTTTATTTTGCAACGTTAGACGTTTTCTTCACTGAGATAGAATAATTTCTCTCTCTCTCTCTCTCTCTCTCTCTCTCTCTCTCTCTCTCTCTCTCTAGATTTAAAAGTATAATAGCATAAAGAAATAGTTGCAAAGTAAACAGTGCTAAACGTGGCTAATGAATTAAAGAACTCGTTTTTATTGTTATTAAATAAAACAAAAGATGAGTATTAAAAAAGGCACTTGTTAACTGACGATTCAGTTTCGAGGTTAGAAATAAAAATAAGACGCTCTTACCCTTCGGTATACTCCGCTTGAAGGAGTCCCAGATATGCTTCCCATTTATTTCCAATGACTTTTCCGCAGGTGAAGCATCGCACAGGAATGATCATCGTGATAGTTCTTGATTTGCAGCTCGATTTATTATGTTTTTCACAACGACAATCCGAATTCCAGGCACATGGAACGGCATGAAGTAATCCAAAGTAGTTTAGTTATAAACCGTCGTTATTGGAGGCGCCACTGCAGTACTACAAGGTTGCCATATTTTGTTGCTGCAGGGTTGCCATATCATTTTCAAAACTAGAATTTACAAGTCAAAAACCCCGGACATTTTACTTACAATGAGCATCCAAGCGTGTAGGCTAGTTTGGCCGTTTGACCTGACTGCGTTAAAAAAATTACTAATTGTAATACTTAGATTTAATCATACTTAATTTCTTAAATATTATAATTAAATATTTTACTTAACTATTAATTAAAAAAGTGTTATATTTTATATTTTAAATAAATAATTATAATTTGCGGAAAATGGACAAGAAAAATAAAATAATATCTAGTATAACAAGTTTTGTAGTTGGCAAGCCAAATGATCAAGCAAAATTGGCAAAAATGGTGAGACGATCGAATGATTGCGGTTGGGTTCCTATAAACTGTTAAGAAATTTTTTTATTTTATCATCATCCACCAGACGGAATAAAGGCGCGAATGCCTTTCGAGAGAACGATTAAATGTACCGAGAAGGTATTTATTAATTTATACCCTTCAATTTATAATTATTGAGATGTCATAAACTCTTATAGTCACATCATGCCGGTGTTTCGTCATAGTCAATATTATCTTATATTTATAAGTCCGTTTCAAGTACAGTCTATTTTCGATTTTTTCCCGAAAAATTGCTATTTTTGCTATGTAAGACATAATAAGTAACTTCTAAATTCCTTTATAAAATTAATACGATGAAATTATGTAGCATTACTTTTATTAAAATTTTTTAGTTATCCTTCTATTTTTATAGTAAAATCTAATCTAACCTTCCTTTACATAAAAGCTTAAGTAGACAGATTTTTAACTCTGATTTGTCACACTCCGGTCTAATGAACTCCTGAAGTGTCTCTTTGTTAGTTTGTTTTTTTTTAAATATTTTGTTACGAATTCACTTTAAATCCAAATTATTTTCTAGACCTACCATTATCATATGATGTTTGGACTCTATATTTTTAATTCTTACATTAATGATGCAATAGTATATGTCTTGTATGTTTTATTGAATACATTATGCGACCTCAATCTTTTATACAATTGCAAAATATATGTTAACTTATCTCCCGCTGTGTATCCTGTACGCAATTATTTTCTTTACGGAAAGAACAAAGAAGCAAACGTGGTAGATTTTACGCGTGAATTTTTCCAAAATGAATTTTTCTACCCTTGGGAAAAAAAACCGAAAAAATCCGCGGAAAAATTGGATTTTTTTCCGATCCTTTAAAACTATAGTTCATTATTATCCTGATGTTTCGTAAACATTGATAGATCGATCTATAATCGTGTTCTTACAAAAGACACAATTAAATTAATGGCTCGGGGACTGTCCTCGATTTAATTAATGTTTTAGATATGGTAGTAGCAGGACATCAAAAAAGTATTAGATCCATATTTTTTATCTGCTATTACCTCAAAGTTCAGAAACAAATTTTTTTATTTTAAGCTAATATTTGCAAAATTATATGGTATATATATGCATGAAAAAAATGTTTTAGACAATTAAAAGTTTTATACTATTTCCTATTCTTAATAACAGTGTAACATTTTTTAATTTATTTCCAAGGATTAATTTCGACCCCTAAATTTTGAGATAAACACAATCGAATAAACATATAGTCTAACATTATTTAATGCTCCACAACATATCCAAATAAGCTAGCGCATCAAAAAATCAATTCCCTTAATCAGTCAGTGCGATACAGTCATTTTATAAAATTCATGAGTGAATGAATCAATCAATAAATCATTATTAATTCATTTCATGAATCAGTCATATCATTTCATCCTTGTTTATCAGTATGTTAATCATCTGTCTCTTGCTAGAAAATGTCGTGTCAACAAAAATTGTATCGATGATCGATAATTCATATTTGCACGGCGACGAGCGTGATCCACGTACGCCACACAGGCTGACGCGGCCGCCATTCTCCTACGCGTCGAATACACACTGAATTCCGAACTCCAAAGTGGAGCCGCGTCGCGGAACAGCTGCGATCGAAGGGGCCGCGATGGCTGGCGGGAGCGCACGCTTTCGCGAAAAGGGGGGCGACCGATGGCGTTGCGTGGTAAAGGGGGATAGGAGGAACGAGAGGAGCAGGAGGAGGAGGAGGAGGCCGCGATCCGGATAGTAGTGGTGATATGCACGCACACACGTAGTGGAGAGGAAAGAAGCCCGCGATAGGGAGAGAACGAGAACTCGCGTCGTAAACACGAATGCACGCACGCACGCACTCATTCCCGCACGTAGTACATACGGCCAGCCGGAGCAGATGGAGTGGATTGTGAGCTTTCTCCTTTATCGTCCGCTGAATGGAAGCATGCTGTGAATACTGCACGGTGTTCCGCCACGCTCCTTGGATCTTCGCTGTAAGGATCGCGCGTCATCGGGCACAGTGGCCGAGGGGGGAAAGAGACCGACGGTTCGTCCATCTGTCTGTTCATTTCATTCGCGGCGGCGAGGTGGCCGCGGCGGAATTTCCGCGCGCCGAATTTGCGTCGCTGAATAAAAACGGCGGCGCGACGCCGCGACGCGACGCGACGCGACGCGACGCGGCTAACGGGCGAGCGGCGCGCGGTGACAGCGCGGATGGGTTATGTCGGCGATCGCCGTGTCCGACGTCCCCGCGTTTCGCTTGCACGCCTCCCGGACGCGCTCCAACCGTTGACGAACGTTCCT